CGCAGAAAATTAAATGAGTTTTGTGCCGTGTTTGGTGTGGTAGGTTCCCGGTCTCTCCGTCCAAGTAACCATGAGCATCCGGATTAGAATTGGTCTTCAGCAACCCATTCTTGTCGTTAGAACCGAATAACAGGATTGGGTGGTCACGCTTGCTGACTTGGTCATCATATCCCAACGGCTTAGTTCGATGTTCATGCTGCTGATCACTGGATTGTCTGGTCTGGTATGGATTCAATTATTTACAGTCCGCCGTCATATAGCTGGAAAACTGCGTGAGTGAGAGAGTGAGTGAGTGAGTGAGTGAGCTTGATTTAACGCCCAAGTAGACTGTTGCGCAGTGTAATATGAACTAAAATAACTAAATGTGAATTTCCCTAATGAAGTGTGCGGGGAACTAAACGTGAAAACTTCTCTGAATATATCGAGACAAGAAACGATTATGACATATTTCGTTTCTTGGCGATTTTCAAATTTAAAACCAACAATCACCCGAATACAAAGGGACGCAATTCTGCACAGTAAAGAGCAAAAACGTGTTGGTGGTCGTATCAAACATTATTTCTCGCGTGAGTGCCTTCATGATCTGGAAATCTCTCTCGGGTTTGAAAATATTACAAAAGAGCTGATGATATATAAACAACATATTTCAGGTTATGATATCAATATGAGACTAGACTGACTGCGTATCAGAAAGAAGATTTGGGCGCCTAAGATAGCTTAGCTATGTAACGAGTCTATAAACCTGAGACAATACTGAACATTATGGCGGCAATAACAGGTGATCTCGAGCAGTTCAAACATCGGTCGTATCATAGTTTCAACCATACCTACAACCCCATGTTAAGGACCGTTCATAAGTTATAGCTGGGGAGGGGGAGGAGTGTCTCAATGATTTTTATGGAGAAGTATGTACAATGTGAATCCCCTTAAAATATATGTAGAAAGAAAGCGACCCCCACGCATGCCATGTACAAAATCAATGACACCCCCATCCCCTATAATTTTAAGCATAATGTTTTAATATTTTCATATAGCTGGAATATTGCTACAAAATTAAACTGACCCCCAATACATTTGTACAAAAGTTATGGCTAAATTTATGGCTCTCCTATCCCCTTGACGGCGGTCATTTGACCCCAATACCCCTTGGAGTGTATACACGGGTCTCTTTGTAAAACAAGATAAACCAGGTGATTACGCCGTCCCGGAGTTTGTAAATTGGGTCACACAAGCATTTCTCGATATACCGATCAAAACAAATAACGGAACATATGCCATGACTGCAGAATATTGACACCTTTGAAATAGTGCTTTAAGGTATGAGTCGAATGTTAGTGGCGGTTATTTCGTGAATGAGAGTGACAGTCAGCAACATGATCCACAGGTCCTGGGTTTGAATTTCAAATTTACCCGATTAGTAATTGAAACACTCAATTTTCTTTAGTGCGAATTCCATTTTGGTGCGTACAGCTAGGGCTTTACTCGAACTCTGCCACGCAGCGATAATACTGAAATATACATTACACGAGACAGTCTGTAAATAATCGTGTCTGGACAAAGCAATCCAGTGACTGACATCATGAACATCGATCCATGAAAGTAACTGTGATACGATGACATGCACCAACGAAGTCAGGTAGCCTGACGTCTCGAACACGAGGTTGAATTTAACAAGAGTGTTTGTTCCGATTGAACTTCCAGTTTACCCGAGGTTTACCGAGGATTACTGAGTGCAGATTGAAAAATGTCAATCGGAACATAAACTCGATAATTACAGAAACGTATTTGACAACGGACGCTACCTTCAGATATCATTTGCATGTGTAATAATCTACTTAATGCCACATATGTCATTTGGAGACAATCGGTTCCAGCACCGATTATACAGTAACTTCAGAAACAGCGGAAGACAGTGATTACGCGGTGCTGCCAAAATAGTTAAGTTATTTTTTTCTCGGTGTTTAGCAAAGAAAAATAAATCATGAAAAACATAAGATGCATTGTACGGAGCTAAATAACAATTATTACGCAGCCGAGGCCAGGTAGACAAGGAAAAGCGATTTTTATCATTACGTAAAATCAGGCTTCTACAAAAGTGTTATGAAAAGCCATTCAACTTTCTGACAGAGCGTACTTATACAAATAATGATTAAGTAGTTTCCAGACAAAAAGCATTGTTTTTTAGCAACTCTAGTGGTATGTTCCAATCACCAGGGTTTTATAACACCTCACACCCAGACCTGCTCTCGGGGGCATACAAACTTCCTGTAGAAGTGAGTGAGTATAGTTTTACGACGGTTTCAGTGATATTTGATCGGTATCACGCGGGGTACCGGAAATTGACTTCACACTTTGTAAATTATCAATCTGGGGAACAAAGCCGGGCCTTCGGCGTGAGGAGCGAACGCTTTAACCTCTAGGCGACCTCTATTTAGTTATTTAGTTATTTATTTAGTTTGTTTGTTGTTTAACTAAACAATATTCCGGCCATATGGCAGCGGTCGGTAAATAATTGAGTCTGGACCAGACAATCCAGTGATCAATAGCATGATCATCGATCTACACAGTTGGGATACGATGACATGTGTCAACCAAGTCAGCAAATCTGATCATCCGATAACATTAGTCTTCACGGGAAGAACGTTGTAGACTTAATGGCCAAAACATGCCCAGTCATAACATCACCATCGATTTGTTACATCTTTAGCCATCAGGAATGGGTGTATACATTTGTATGTCCGGCAGTCAGTTTCCAATAGAGACGGTGTACCTGCTGTTTAAGACAGCGCAATGATCTCTCGCAGAGAAGAAAAATCGACCAGTCTTACAAACGGTTTTAACGAGGCATATTTAAAGGCGCTAGTAAGTGTTGACATGCCACATATCGACCAGGAAGGGTTGTCATAGAGGCAACGGCGCATCCTATAAACAAACGTACATCAATATATGTCACAATTGCCTACAGCGTGAACACAAGATCCAGATACAAGACATCACCCTCGTACACGATTTTGAAAAAGACCTACTTTTCGGACATTAAATTGCAATTTTGTGCATGCTGTATAGAAAGATGCTGTTGGATAAACTGCCGAGTTAGTAAATATGCATTCATGTTTGATTGAATAAAAAGCTAAACACGAAATAAACGAAAAACGTTTAGCCGATGGTGATTTAATTTGATATAGGTATCAGTTGTGTTCTGGACCGTTTGAAGTGTTTCGGTGCCTGTTTTGAGCCAGGTAACGGTCTGATAACTTAAAATGTTTGGGTCAATCCAAGTTTGGCCCGCAGTTCAGTATATTTTAACCCTACGGTTGTCAATAAACTATACGCACTGCTCGTACTGTCCAACCTGCGACCTGTAACTTATAGTGAAAAACCTGCGTCCGTGTTCAGCAGTTATGATTGAGTAAGTGAGTTTAGTTTTACGCCGATTTTAGCAATATTCCAGCAACATCACGGCGGGGGAGACCCGAAATGGGCTTCCCACATTGTACCCATGTAGGGAATAGAACCCGGGCCTTCGGCGTGACGAGTGAACGCTTTAACCACTAGGCTACCCCACCGCCACCTCAGCAATTATAAAGTTTTGTAGGGTTTTAGGCTCCTTTTAGCAATAGTCCACCTCTATCGGGGACACCAGAAACTGTCTTGACATATTGTACCCATGTGGATATCGGACCAGGCCTTCATCGTGACAAGGGAACCCTTTAACCACTAGGCTGCCCCATAGCCCGTTGGGTATAGAACGGCAGTTTGAACATTACTTTTATAGAATGACGTCGTAACGTTGGGTGACATTGTACGTTGTGATCAGGAATAATATTCGACACCAACCCTGACCAGCGGAACCTTGTACGGCTAAGGGAGGTAAGTCTGCACAGCGCATTGAAACTGACTGCGGAGTCAAAGAAGAACTAGCAACTCGCCTAATATATAAAGATAACAGGGACAGTGATGGTTGTGCGTTTTCTTAGCTAGATTTTCACATTTTGGGCCTTTCTGGCATCACTCAAAACACTTTAAGACAGGGTTGTATCACGTGTTGAGATAAACACCAACTAAGAAACAATGCATCAAACAATGGTAAAATCCATTCTAATACGATTCACTACTCCATACAAAAAGGATTAAATTGGCCTCGACATTTTTCACATTTATAATTGTGTAAATGCAAAGAATGTCCCTTTACAAACAGCTCTCTTGCAAAACCTAGATTGTGAGGTGAGGTGAGGTCAGGTCAGGTCAGGTGGCGAGGTGAGGTGAGGTGAGGTGAGGTGAGACGAACTAGACTACTACACGGCGTCCGCGATTGCTATACTTATATACCGATGTTTCAAAGAGAGAATGCAAAATACGCATTATGTCAGAAAGCGCACGTTAAATCTCCAAATCATCATCATCATCATCATCATCATCATCATCATCATCATAAGACATATTGAATACATGTCCAGAATCGTGATAAAACATTTATGAATAAAGTATAAAAAATCAGCGAAGAAACAAAAGCATTGGACAGTTTTATGTCGCTATCTTCACCCTTCTAATGATAGAACGACAAACAACATGCAACCAGTTTTCATCATTCCAGCTACGATTTTAAGAGGAATTTTGATTCAATCGGTTTTGTTTTAAACTTTAAATACCCGACATTTACTATCAAATCATATATTCTACAGATGTAAACGTTTTCAATAAAAAAAGTAATTGCTTAATTTATAATTTAAGGCGGCTGTGGAGAGTGTAGCAGGAGCGCAATGCTTCTATTCCCCAGAACGATTTCATGACTAGTCGTTTAGATTGTATGTCTTTTAACTATTTCGAGCAATATAAATGACAGTGGTAGTCACTACACATCCGAGATAGCATTTACGGTTTTAGGTCTTGTAATACCACATGCTAAGACATTGTACAATGTCCCAACCGTTTACAAGAAGTGCCCGTTGAGCTGAACGGGACAGTAATCCAGGTTGTTGAAGTGACAATGAAACACTTACCTGTGTAAAATGCCAAAGAACTAAAATGTGAAGAAAATAACTGAGTCTTGTCGCCATAATTCCATTTTGCGGTTTTCCATGAGCTTAAACACTCAGGGCTCGGACAGACGCCATTTACACCACTACATCACGGCAACACTGCACAACGTACTGAAAAAGCTTGAGTCATTCACGCCCCTTCTCCACAATAACGTAATGGCAAGGGGACAAAACTGCTGTAGGTCATGTAACGTGTTCAATATTCCATTTCCAGGTTATATCGATATAAACTATTGATAGAGGAGACATGCCAAGGGAGGTAACTGAAGTTTGGTATTGGCGATAATTCCACGGGGATTAGACGACGTGACAAAGGCCCTATTGCCGGAGACTTCGTGTCGTGGCACGATTCTAACGGCATTCATAACATGGGGAAATAATAGCGTCCATGGGCAGAACTCGTTTAATTTGTAAAGAATCATTCTAAATGCCATGATGATATGGGAGACAAACATACGATTCATTTGGCAGTCGGACAATTGACTAAGTAACAGAGACGTATTAGATAACTATCGATAGCACGGCTGGTTCGAGGGCACGGGGGTTATAGGAAAAGCAGGGGAATGGTTAGAGTGGGCAGAACGGGGGACGGGGTGGGGACAGTTGTGTTGTAGATAGTGTACAAGCACCCAGTATCCAGACTAACCTCGTTGACATGTATTATCTAGAGAGACATGTTTTTATATTATCCTTCAAAAGTTTAAACATTAAGGAATATGTTTCTTCATCTTAAATGTGTTATTAAGACAGGGCTTAATATTTGGGGTTTTATGATTTTATGTTACGTCGCTTAGACGGGAAGTGGCGCTAGGCTGTGATGGTATGAAGCGACTATTTGATACTTAATAGTGGTAGTGGCGTACAGTGGTGATAGAATGATCTATGTAGCGTTGACGATAGGGTGATATATATAGATATATAGTGGAGATGTAGTAGTGAAATGGTGGTATATTATGTCGATAGGGTGGTTTACAGTAGTACATAGTGTGCGGAATAGTTTCCAAATTTTGCTAGCCTGTCGGGCTAGCTATGCCTGAAAGTTACTAAAAACCAGTCACAAGCCCGACATTTGAATGTAGAAACTAAGCAAAAGCTGAGAATAAGTTATTGTCGGCATGACACCGATTTCATAAGTAATATGATGAACATTTGTATCAGGCCATACTCTTGCATGATTTAAAAGTGTATAATATATAACCTAACAAGTCGGAGAGAGTAATATCTTTACAAAATGACTCCATGAAAAAAGGAGTTATGTAGTGGTGATAGAGTGGTATATAGAGGTGATAGAGTGGTATATAGTGGTGATGGAGTGGTATATAGAGGTGATAGAGAGGTATATAGAGGTGATAGAGAGGTTTATAGAGGTGATAGAGAGGTATATAGAGGTGATAGAGCGGTATATAGGGGTGATAGAGCGGGTGGTATATAGTGGTGATAGAGCGGGTTGTATATAGTGGTGACAGACTAGTATATAGGGGTGATAGAGAGGTATATAGAGGTGAGAGAGCGGTATATAGAGGTGATAGAGAGGTATATAGTGATGATAGAGAGGTATATAGTGGCCATAGAGTGGTATATAGTGGTGATAGAGTGGTATATAGTGGTGATAGAGGGGTATATACTGGTGATAGAGTGGTATATAGTGGTGACAGCGTTGTATATTGTGGTGACAGAGCGGTATATAGTGGTGATAGAGCGGGTGGTATATAGTGGTGACAGAGAGGTATATAGTGGTGACAGAGTGATATATAGTGGTGATAGAGTGATATATAGTGGTGATAGAGTGGTATATAGAGGTGATAGAGTGGTATATAGAGGTGATAGAGTGGTATATAGTGGTGATAGAGTGGTATATAGAGTTGACAGAGTGGTATATAGAGGTGATACAGTGGTATATAGAGGTGACAGAGTGGTATATAGAGGTGATAGAGAGATATATAGTGGTGACAGAGTGGTATATAGAGGTGACAGAGTGGTATATAGAGGTGATAGAGTGGTATATAGAGGTAATAGAGAGTTATATAGTGGTGATAGAGTGCTATATAGAGGTGACAGAGTGGTATATAGAGGTGATAGAGTGGTATATAGAGGTGATAGAGAGGTATATAGTGGTGATAGAGAGGTATATAGTGGTGATAGAGAGGTATATAGTGGTGACAGAGTGGTATATAGAGGTGACAGAGTGGTATATAGAGGTGACAGAGTGGTATATAGTGGTGATAGAGTGGTATATAGTGGTGATAGAGAGGTATATAGTGGTGATAGAGAGGTATATAGTGGTGATAGAGAGGTATATAGTGGTGACAGAGTGGCATATAGAGGACAGACAAGAGAGAGGCAGGTGACCGAGACAGTGGACTGGAGGAACACTGGAGGAGAAAAACACGAGACAGGACAGAGACACAAGGACAGTGGAGACACGAGACAGGACAGACAGGCACACTGAGACAGACCAGAGTGGTGACTGAGTGGAGGAGGGAGTGGAGGAGACAGTGGAGGAGACACTGCAGACACAGAGAGACACCGACCAGAGACACCGAGACACACGAGACCGACACGACACCAGACCACCGAGAGAGACACACTGACCACGACACGACACACGAGACACCACGAGACACACCACCGACACCACCGACACACGAGACACACAGAAATGAGGACGGAGCCGGACGGACCCGGAGAACACATGGACCGGATAGACAGACCACAGACGACCCGGAGTGATCTGACACAAAGGAACCCCACACAGACCCACACACAACGAAAAGAAACCCAAACACACCCCAGGACCAATCACAGGAAAAACACACCCCAGACACACCACAGAACACACCGACACACTGACACACCACGAGAGAGGACACCATGAGACCGACCGAGACACCACGAGACAGACAGGAACCGAGACACAGACACAGAGACACACAGACAGACACACAGACAGACACAGAGACACAGAGAGACAGACACAGACAGACAGACAGAGACACAGACACAGACACGAGACATGGAAAACAGACACACAGTGGAGAGACAGACACACAGAGACCCCAGACACCAGACACCAGGACCACAGACACAGACACATGGATAACTAAGGAAATAACAGTGGCATGAACAGACACCAGTGGAAAATAGTGGTATGGAAAACAGACACTTAGAAGGAAAATAGAAAATATGAAAAGGAAGGAAATGAAGGAAAAGAAAAACAGAATATGGAAGAAAGAAAATAAAAAGGAAGGAAGGAAAGGAAAAGAAACATAGTAGTAGTGGACACAGACAGTGATGGTATGGAAAAGGTATAAAATAGTGGTATGGAAAATAGTGGAAAAAGGAGAATGGAAAGGTGAAGGAAGGAAGGAAGAAAAGAAAGAAAAGGAAGGAAAGGAATAGTGGATGGTGGGGAAGGAAAGGAAAGGAAGGAGGAAGGAAAGGGAAATCAGTAGCATGCCGTCGCATAGCACCAGTGCGGTATGGCGCCGTATAGCACCAGTGGTAGTATTGCGCCAGATAGCACCAGCGGCAGCATGCTGGCGCCATATAACTAGTGGCGGCAATGGCGCCGTATTAGCACCAGTGGCGGTATTGCCGCATAGCACCAGTGGCATGGCGTCGCATAGCACCAGTGGCAGTACGACCGCATAAGCACCCGAAGGCAGCATGGCATTGCATCGGCACCAGCGGCAGCATGGCGCCATACCAGTGGCAGTACGGCGCCGCACAGCACCAGCGGCAGTACGGCGCCTCGATACCAGCAGGCAGCAGTGGCGTCAGTATTAGCAACCAGTGGCGCATTGGCGTCAGCATACAGCACCAGCGGCAGTATTGGCGCCGAAGAAGCACCAGGTGGCAGTACGAAGCCTGCATAGCACCAGCGGCGGTATTTGCGCCAGATACAGCACCAGCGGCGTCGCACGGTGCCGTACAGCACCAGCGGCAGTACGGCGTGGCGTCACAGCACCAGCGGCAGCATGGCGTCGCATAGCACCAGTGGTGGTGCATGGCGCTGCATAGCACCAGCGGTAGTACGGCGCCGCATAGCACCAGTGGCAGTATTGGCGCCGTATAGCACCAGCGGCAGCATGGCGCCGCATAGCAACCAGCGGCAGTATGGTCACAGTACAGCACCAGCGGTAGCATGGCGCCGCATAGCACCAGCGGTGGCAGGCGCCGTATAGCACCAGTGGCAGTAATGGCGCCGCATAGCACCAGTGGCGGCACGGCGCCGTACAGCACCAGTGGCAGTATGGCGCCGCATAGCACCAGTGGCAGTATGGCGCCGGTATAGCACCAGGTAGCATTGTGGTGTACAGCAGGCACCAGCGGCAGTATATGGCACAGCGTATGTTGCAACCCAGGTGGCATGGCGCCGCATAGCACCATGGCAGTGACGGCGTCCGTATAGCACCAGCGGCGGCATGGTACTGCATAGCACCAGCGGCAGCACGGCGTCGTATAGCACCAGTGGCAGTATGGCGTCGCATAGCACCAGCGGCAGCATAGTGCCAGCATAGCACCAGTGGCAGTACGGCGCCGCATTGGCGGTACCGTCATAGCACCAGGCGGCATGGCGCCGCATAGCACCAGCGGGATGGTAATGGCGCTCGCATAGCACCAGCGGCAGTACGGCGTCGCATAGCACCAGCGGCAGTACTGGTACGCACCAGTGGTGGCAATGGCGCCGCATAGCACCAGTGGGCAGCATAGTCCTGCATAGCACCAGTGGCAGCATGTCGCACGTATTAGCACCAGTGGTGGCATGGCGCCGCATAGCACCAGCGGCAGTACGTCAGCCGCATAACCAGTGGCAGTACGGTTCCGCATAGCACCAGCGGCAGTGCATGGCGCCGCATAGCACCAGTGGCAGCATGGCAGCGCATAGCACCAGTGGCAGTATTAGTCGCCGTAATAGCACCAGTGGCAGGTACGGCGATGCATAGCACCAGTGGCATGGCGGCGCATTCCCAGTGGTATAGCACCAGCGGCAGCATGGCGCCGCATAGCACCAGCGGCAGCATGGTCCTTGCATAGCACCAGCGGTAGCATGGCGCCGCATAGCACCAGTGGTAGTATGGCGCCGCATAGCACCAGCGGCAGTTCGGCGCCAGT